CTAAAAATGGGGCTTTTATCAGTTTCTGCTGCTAGCTAGCTAGCTACTCGAAAATTGAAAAACAAAAGGAAACGTGTTGAGGACACTGTGCGCTCACAATAAACTGTCCTAGCGTGTGGTGAGTTCACTGATCCAAATGTGTTTCGTTTCTCTGAGTGTACTACGCGTTGTTGTAATTAAACATTAGCGTTTTTGTTGTTTGGAGGAGCAAATTGACCTGCCCACCAGTTAAAGGTCTGCTGCCATCCTGCGGAGACGGAAGGGCGAGGAATAAATTGGGGGTTACAGCGCCCTCTGATGGTCTCTCTACAAAGTCTGTGTGTGTGAAAAAGCGGTTAGCTAGCTGAAAGGCTACCAGCCACCGTACCAGAGGAACATTTCTTCATGCGAATAATTAACCTACGTTTTATTTAATCATTAATTAATAACATTTAATATTACCCGACGTGTTTTTGTTGGCAGCTCGTTAAAGCGTATGTCACTTGGCGTATTTAACCTCACTCAAAAACAATGTTATTACAACCAACCATTTAAAGTCTCTGTTTATGTAAATAGCGCAAAGCCACTGCAGAGTTTGAAAGTAAAAATGTGTCCTTAACAGTTGGAAGAGGGACAACAAAAGTGTAAATGTATAAAAGCTAACAGAGCATTTTTCACATTTCACCAATCAAAACGGATTAAAAACAGTTTAAAGTTTGTTGACTTTCTCAGAGTTGTTGTTGTCTCTTTTTTTTCCCAGTTCAAGTTATTCTCCTCATATGTGTTTTTTTGGAGTGCCAGCTCCCTGTTTTCTAATGTTTATAATGTTTTATAAGTCCCACTAACCTTAATTGAAAATATCATGACGTAGAAACAGCTGTGATAAATCCACTGCCACTCCTACATGTCAGTAACTTTGTACTTTTAGTTCTTTTATAAAAAAGCTTTGCCTTCCACTCGCCATCAAGTGCTGCTCAGACAGGATCGCATTACTTTGGGTTTTCTCTCTAATATTGCTGCACCTGACACATAGTCTGTTGTTGTGAACTGAATTGAGTGTGATTAGATGCACAGTAGTATTCAGGTTTTGTGCCTTGTTTCTGATAATCCTCGTGCAGTGTTAGTTTCCTATTGTTTCAGCCGCTTTGATCATCAAGGGTTTTATATGACACACACACACACACACACACACACACACACACACACACACACAGACACACACAAAACAGGATTTCTATCAGAGTCCTCCAGGTAACAGATCAAGGTTTGTCAAAAACAAGCATGAAACAATAGTGTGGAATAAGATGTGCTCAGTAGTTACAATGTTTCAACAAACACTTTTGGAACAATTCATTATTTTAGAACCCACAAAATAATTTACATTAACTTAAAACTGAATTAAAATGGGGGGAAAGATTGATTACACTCCTCCAAGATTTCAAGGAAACCAGTGGCGAGTGGATATTGGAATTCTGTGGGTCCTGTTTATCTTCTTTTATCATTTCCTTTTCTGCACTGGTACTCATACTCATCTGTGTACCCAGGATACTTCCTGGCTTTAAAGGTTCTTTTAAACAGAGAACAGACTTGTTTTTCTTTAAGGTTTTTTCAACCTGATCTCAGACGGGAAAAATGTAGACACCAAGTTTCTCATAGTTAACCAAAACTATGTGAAGGACACTTTGTTTCACTGTAATAAAAAAAAAAAAAAATTAAACAAACATTTTTCTGAACTTGGAAAAGAAACAAAAATAAAAACGAAAAAAGAGGTTATGATATTTGTTAGTGATTAGGCTTTGATGGAGGTGTTTATTGAGATGTGTGTGAGTCTGGAGCTTTGAAAGAGTTGATTTTCATTGCATTACTTGCACTGATGTCCTTTATCTTGCCTCTGACGTATACCTCCATACAATCATAATTAAAAAGACTAAAGCTAACAGTGAAACGCTTAAAAACTACACTGAAATGAGCAAACCTGCTCTGGAAACAGAAAGTAAACTGATATAAAAACAAAAAGTCTAACAACTAATTTGAAAATACAAAGCTGTAATAATTGTGTTAGACGCACAAAAACGTGCATACAGTTAGTTTTCCTGCCCCTCAAACAGAGTGGCACATTTCAGCTGTTTTCAAAGGAAACCTGAATAAGGATCAGTAGTCTGCATTGGCTCTCCAGCTATTGTTAAACATGCTGTTTTCCTCATGTCCTGCAGATGTCTCTGCTGACTGCTCCTCCACGGGAGGCTGAAGCATCAGGCAGGTGAACCGTCAGCCTCAGAAGCGTCCAGACTGAAGCTCGTCTGAGAACTTTTGCTTCATGTTAGCAGCACAAAATCATCCCAGAGGTTTCCTGATATGTTTCCACACAAAATGTGTTGTATGCTTGAACGATTCATTTAATTGGTTTAACAAAAAATCCTCTGAAGATGGCGAGCTACAGACCACGGGTAGGTCGGGACTTTTGTGCAGTACTGTGGATTGTTCGGGATCTGTCACCCCGACAGTCAACAATGCGGCGCATCAATGTCCAGACGGTGGCGCCACAGGCATTCAAGTGTATACTACAGCTTAGTCTTATGAAAGTCTATGCGACTTTCATCACCGCCTTTAAACTTGCAAAGAGCGACGCAGTGTCGGAGAACAGTTAAATGCACGGATGGAAAACTACAAATCACAGTCACTTATAAAGTAGTTTAATTTAGTGGCTATGGATAATAATCTTTCTACTTTTACATATACATTACATATTTGTAAATCGAAGCTATCCGTCCTCTACACAGTGAACACACACAACCACACACACACATTATGGGCATTAGCGTGTAAACCCCTCCCATCCGCGGAAGATAGCGGATGACGGATGATGCACACTACGCGCCTGGCTGAACACTGAGTGCGCACCAACATCCAGCCATCCATACATCCTCACGCACAGGCTCACGCATACTGTACGACCCTGTTCTGTGCAAAGTGGAAATGGAGCTGAAATAGGCGCAGCGCTCTGGAATGCCTGCAGCACCTCCCGCTTTGGATTTCTAAATTTTATGCGCACAAACTGACGCACGAGAGAAAATGTGGAGCTATACGAAGCTGCTGGCCTGTCTGCTGATTCTGTGTAAAAATGCGTCCTCACAGAGCAAGGTAAGAACAGAGCACTTTACTTTGTGGGACTTTTCTGCGCGTTTTCAAATCAAACTCTAACAGCGCTCACTCCGTGCTCATGCGCACCTCTGACTGTGATCCATTTCACGGAGGCTCTCAGACAGACAAATGAGTGGCTCCGAACACCTCCCTCGAGCCGGAGCTTTAAATTTCCTGTCTAAGGTCTGCAGATGGTTCGGGTTCTGTGTCATTGTTTGTGACTCGAGGTAATCCTCCCAATGAGGGCTTTTGTGCGACAACAGTAACCATCGGTGCCTCTAATGACACCTCCAGTGCGCTCAGGACTGCGGCAGCAGAGTGTGGGAGAGATGGCACTCAGTGGGGTAACGGTAATATCTGGCTGCCGTGTTTGTACAGCTGCTGGACTACAGTAAGCCCTCACTCTCCCTCAGCTTAATCCAGCTACACACACACACACACACACACACACACTGCCAGAAGATACAGCACATGTTCAGTATGCCTGCGGACCAGAGGCACGATTGTCTGTGTGTGTGAGAGAGACTGTCAACAATCGTCTGCTGCTGATTCTCTCAGGGTGGCCCCTTTAGCACCAGTGTAGGTCAGTGAAGAGTAAAACCCATTATTAGTACAAGTGGTACATGCATAGCAGCAGTTCAGGGTGTAACATGCGGAGTAGCAGTACTGGCAACACTTTCCTGAGTTCCAGTGAAGAGCAGTGACAATGTTGCCATCAGTGCTTTCAACTTTGTGTCACTTTGCAGCATTTCAACACACAAAGCCAGAACATAAACATGTTTTTCTTCCCAGCTGACCGAAGAACTCGTCTAACATTTGAAGCATAACGTCTGAATCTCACGTTGACCTTAAAGCTGAAGAAATGTCTGCAACTCGACGAGTGGAAACTCCAAAGCAGCGTACTCATTTAGGAGCTTTCAACAGTACATATAGGTGGAATAAGCAGGTGTCTGCTT